CTAGGCATCATCACAGCACACAAAATGCGATCTCCCATCCAGTACACACGGCATAGTGACTCAATCATGCACATTACAAAAAAAAAAATTTCCAATTCTAGTTGCTAGAATTATTTCCACCCCTCTTTCTGACCCTCTGTCCCTTCCCACCCTCCTCTCACACCACCTCTAGTGTCCAAAATTGTCCTCCATTCCCTTCCCACCCACATTGCATTGATCACACAATTTCCTACATAACCTGACTACTTTCAAAGGTGAGTTCCCTCGTTACTACTAAGAAAACCAGTTTTAACTTAAATCAAAGAACCGCCAAGGAACTTTGCTTAAAGCCCGGAAACAGGTTAGGATTCTGTTCAAATGGTAGGTGCATGAACCTATCAGTCTCATATACTTTTATCTTCTGTTCTGGTTCAATTTTCCTGATTAAATTCTGGGATATAGTATTCAACTCCAGACTTGTCCCTATGATTAAGTTAGCTACTTTCTCAGTTTTTGGACTCTTATTTCCATGTATCTGCGTTTAGTTTTCCTGATACAGCACATCCTTGAGAACTTCTTGGAGGTCTGGTCTGGTGCTGGTAAATTCTTTCAGGTTTTGTTTATCTGAGAATGTTCTTGTCTTTTCTTCCCACCTGAAAGATAATCTTGCCGGATACAGTATTCTTGGCTGAAACTGCTTCTCTCTTAACACTTGGAATATATTTTCCCATTCTCTCCTCGCTTTTATTGTTTCTGATGAGAGATCTGCTGTTAGCCTGATGGGATGTCCTTTGTAGGTAACTTGATGTTTTTCTCTTGCTAATCTTAGTATCTTGTCTTTGTCTGCAGTTTTGGTCAACCTGGCTATAATGTGTCTTGGAGAAGATCTTCTAGGGTTGATTCTATTTGGGGTCCGTTGTATTTCCTGGGACTGGATCTTTGAATGCCTCTCTAGGTTTGGAAAGTTTTCTTGCAGGATTTCCTGGAATAGATTATCAATGCCCTTATGGGTTTCCTCACCTTCTGGAATGCCAATTATCCGGATATTTGGACGTTTGATGGTATCCAGTACTTCTCGCATATTATTCTCAAATTTTTGTGCCATTTTCTCAGCCTTCATGGTGGATTTTTCTAGGCCAGCCATTTTCTCCTCTACATCTGAGATTCTATTTTCTGAATGATCTAGTCTGCTTTTAATGCTTTCCAGGGAGATTTTGACTTCTTGTATTATAGACTTCATCTCTAGCAGTTCGGTTTGAGTCTTTTGTAAAGTGTGTAATTCCACTTTTAGATCTTGCAGGAATTTCCTCATCTCTTGGAACTCGTCAATCTCTTTCTCCTTTCTCTTTAGTAGTTCATTATCTCTCTTCTCTTCCATCTCTGTTAGCTTAGACATTATGAATGATCTGAATTCCTTATCAGACATTTCCATGATTTTCACCGAACTGCTTGTGGATGAAGAGTTACTCTTTTCCCTAGGAGGAGATGTAACCAGGTGGTGCCCTCTGGTGGGTGCTGAGAAGGAGAAGCTGAGGCACAGTCTGGGAGAAATGAGGAACCAAGGCTTCACAGTTTACAAGACAGGTCTCAACTGACTGATGTTCAATGGAGGCAGGATGAGGTTCACTGACTAGTGCAAGCCAGACATTCCCTCCTGGGTGTCATTTTAGTGACTCTATTTCAATTACTCAATGAACATCTTCAAAGCAGTGCCAGGAATACACACTTCGGCATCTGGATGCAACTGGTCTCAGTTCTCTCCTCTCAGAAGCTGCAGGCACACTGGGAGCTAGTGAATTCCCATTCTTACCATATTTCTTAGCAATCTCAGCATACACTGTTTTGTCTCCAGTCGAGCACTTTACCTTTTCACTTAAAGGAAGCCTTTAAGGCTTCTCTTCAGCACATCTGAATTGCTTGCCTTACTATAATACTTTGGGCCCATTATGAAGTAAAATAAGGGTTACTTGAACACAAGCACTACAATACCTCAACAGCTGAGCTGATAAGCTAAGTGACTAACAGAAGAACAGTACCTACAGTGTGGACACGCTGGACAGAGGAGTGATTCACACCCCTGATGGGTTGGAGTGAGACAGCTTGTTTTCATCGTGATACTCTAAATAGCATGTAATTTAAAACTTATGAATTTTATATTTCTGGAATTTTCCATTTAATATTTTCAGACTGTGGTAACTAAAACTACAGAAAGTGAAACTACAAATAACTGGGACTCACGAATGTACTCCTTGATGCTCCAGGTATATTTTCTAGATGACAGTGATACAAAATCTTTACTCTGTTCAAATGTGAAACACAAACAGCAATGCTTTGTTTTGTTTCGTTTTGGAGAGGTTTTTGCTATAGGGCGCGTATTTGTGCAAGAAAGACAGAGACAGAAAGCGAGAAATCACCCCCCTAGGGGAGATGGCCACACCGCAATCCCTTCTCCTCTATTCTCCTCTCAGGATCTTGGGCACACACGCACATGTGCCCGGCGTGAGCTTAGGCCACCAGGTCCAGGACTTGAACTTGAGGTTGATTACATGGGAGTCCAGCGACATAGCCATTATACTAACTGCTGGTCCCAAACAGCAATGTTTTAAGGATTGGTTTTTGTTTTATTTTAATAAGGCTGTAAACTTGCTTCTCTGGACATTCTACCTTCTTAGAAGCCCAGAAAGGGAACCTCGAAGATAAAGTGGCAAGTGCAATAAGTTACTCAGGAAGCCTAAATTAACTTTAAAAAATGAAAACAAAGCAAAGCAGCATGGGCAGCAATCAGCCCTTTGCGTCTCACAGGCCCATTAGCTCACTCTCTGGGGATATCCTGGCTAAAATATATGGTGAACACTAGGGCTAGAGGCAGTGATGACTCGCTGGCAAAGCCCAGATGATTAATAAACAAATGTTTCCCAGAAGCAACTTTGTGCTGCAGTGAGTAGAGTGCTGTGAGTGGCATCCAGATTCCTGGCTACTTTTCTCCCCACATCCTGGTATTAAACAAAATCACCCATCTTCTCATTAAAGCGAGCTGATACAATATGCAAAAATACAGAAAAAAATTACACAGGGCTAGCCTCACAGCTTAGTGGTTAAGGGAGTCAGATCCCACATGGCCAATCATAGTTTGAATTCCTGTCCCTGTGGCTCAAAAATCTTGGGAGCATGTATATGCATGCTTGAATTCCCAAGGGGATGTAGAAATGGAGGAGAAGGGATTGCGGCGTGACCATGCTCCATTAGGGGATGCTTTCTCCCTCTTTCTGTCCAATTTTCTCTAACAAAAAACAAGAAAGAAAACAGAAGGAAATGAAATATAATGAAAAAGATACCTTGTTTTTAGCTAATTCCTTTTCCAAATTGCATTTTTCTTGTGCTATTTCTTTTTCAGTTTTATTAACCTGTCCAAAGAGGGAAAATAGAAATGGGTCAGTTTTATAGCACCTGACAGGCTTTACTACAGCAGATGTATCCTGCATGTCAATGAATACCTACACTGCAGAGTTAGCACATCCTCTCAGAAAAGGGGCCAATCAGGGAGTCTCTGAGGCAGAGCAGACATCACAAATAGCCCTGAAATTAGAAAGACACGTCTGCATGTCAGACTCTGCAGGTTCCTTCCTAATTAGAAAGACAGGGCTATTCCCCCTTAGCCTCCCTGTCCCACTTATTCAGGGGAAAAAAATTTTTAAATCTGACTCCTTAACGAACATGAGGATGTGAGAATTATTAGTTAATACTCACTAATGCCCTATACAGGTGTACTATACTACCTGGCACAGTCTCCTTCACATGCTAAAAGGCACAGACTAGCCACCTAAAGATATCTTTAATAGATAGCCAGATACAAACTGGATCTGGGTTTTATTTTCTTATCTTTTGCAGAAAGAGTACAATTTTAAGATATCACCACCACACCATAACCGGGAGGTTGCATAAATATGCTTCTACCTACCTCTCTCTGAAATCTTTCTTTCTCCTCTAGCAGAGATTTCTTCTCTTGCATTGATGTTTCCAGTTCACCTCGCAATCTTGCAATAGTTGATTCTAGAAGCTCTTTTTGCACTGTTGCCCTCTTCTCAGCATCCTGTGCTTTCTGGGTACACTGGTTATGCTCGAGGATTAAATTATCCCTGTAGGAAAGAATGAAAGGTAAATGACAGCTCCTCACTAACAGGAAAAGTGACTCAATGTTCCTATCTCCTGCCTAAGAGCCTTAACCAAAACATTCTAACAAAATTAGCTTACCGAGGGTGGGGTTTTTATTTTATCTTTGTGTCTGTCCCAGCAAATGCAGAATTAAATGTTTTCATTACATATAAGGAACAGGGGCCATATGGTGCTGCAGCAGTGAAAAAAATACAACACTCTGCAAGGCAATCCCACATAGAAAGGTTCCTGGTTCAAGTCCAAAGACTTCCACGAATACAGCAGATATGCACTTGCTCATGATCTGGGGCTGGTTGAAGCTGGAGGTGAATTTTTTTTTTTTTTTTTTGAGAAGTTTTCGCTATAGGGCGCTTGTGCTCACCAGACAGACAGAGAGAGACGTAGAGACAGAAAGCGAGAAATCACCCCCCAGGGGGGATGGTCACGCCGCAATCCCTTCTCCTCCATTCTCCTCTCGGGATCTTGGGCACACACGCACACGCGCCCGGCGTGAGTTCTAAGCTACCGGGTTCGGGATGCGAACCGCGGTCGACTCCGGGGGAGACAAGCGACATAGCCATTACGCTAACTGCTGGTTCCCGAAGCTGGAGGTGAATTTTGATATCAAGATCTTAGGGTTGTGGTCTGTCTGTCTCCTTTTTTCATGGAATTAATTAATTATAAAATAAAATAAAGAAATACAAATACAAGAACAAAAGATACATAAGAAGTTGCCCAAAATTCACTTACAGATATATTTGGAGTTGGTTTTTCTCATTCTGAACTGTCTTTAGTTCGCTTGTGATGCTGGCATGGGCTGCGTCCAGCAGTAGGTTTTGTTCCTGAAATGTCTGTGTCATCATTTTCTGCTCCACCTGAGTGTTAGAGTAATATTAAAAGCTGAGGTGCCAGGAAGTCATTTGGTAGGGTGTCTTCTGGAGTAAGTGATCAAAGACACTCAATAACTTATAAAAGACAAATTTTATTGGGAACCAGCAGTTAGCGTAATGGCTATGTCGCTGGACTCCCACGTAGTCGACCGCGGTTCGTGTCCCGGACCTGGTGGCTTAAAACTCACGCCGGGCGCATATGCGTGCATGCCCAAGATCCCGAGAGGAGAATGGAGGAGAAGGGATTGCGGCGTGACCATCCCCCCAGGGGGTGATTTCTCGCTTTCTGTCTCTATGTCTCTCTCTGTCTGTCTGGCGAGCGTACGCGCCCTACAGTGAAAATCTCTCCAAAAAAAAAAAAGACAAATTTTATTATACACAAGTATAATCTCTTTTTTAAAAAAATTATTTATTCTAGAATTATTTAATATTATGTATCATTATTATTTTTTAATTTGACCAGAGAGAGAAAGAGAGAGACAGAGGGAAAATGAAAAAGCAAGCCACCAGGTTCAGGACTTGAACTGCGGCTGGCCACGTGGGAGTCAGGGACCTTAACCATTATACCACTTGCTGGCCCCTAAAATCTCCTTTTAAAAGAATTTATTTTAATGCTCAGTTTTCTCTTTTTTCCTGCCCCGAGTTAACTATAGTTCTATCATTTTATAGCTCTACTATCCAATAGTCAAGGTACATTACTCACCTAGCTGACTGCAGGAATTGTAAAACTCTAAATACCAACATATTTTAAAAACAGAGCCCAACAGCACAGTGGCTTAGTACAGTTCATCAGGAGCTGAATTTCACAAGGCCAACCATGGTTCAGATCCTGCCCTGGTGGCTTGAGAAACCTGCTGGACATGTGAGTGTGTGAGTGTGTGTGTGTGTGTGTGTGTGTGTGTGTTTGTGTGTTCACATGCTCACAATCCTGATGGGACACAATAATGGAGGACAGAGGATCGCATTATAGCTACACCTTATTTGGGAGTGCTTTTTGTCTGTTTCTCTCTCTCTCTCTCTCCTCTCTCTATGGCAAGCACATATGCTCTCTGGCAATTAAAGGAAAACGTTTTAGATAGAAAATTATACTGAAACATTTTTGGTATTTTAAACTTTCAATGTGACAAGTAGAACTTTATTTTGACAAGTAGAACTACATAAATGTATACGAGTATAAAGTGAAAAGAGCTCGTCATCAATACCCCTCCGTCCAAATAATCCTACACTTTAGGGGTAAATATGTTTAAGAGTGAGATTTCTTCATGAATTCTTTTGAACATATCTTAAACTGTACTAAGATACTGTTACAGCAGAAGCACTGTAATTGTTTTGCACAATTTACTTTCTCTGCCTCACCATCTTAGAACTAGCAAGACAACATTTTTATATATACAACCCTCCCCCCATCTATAATCCATAGTCTGTCTTTCTTTTTTTTTTTTTTAAGAATTATAAAGTTTTAAAAATACAGTATATATTAACAATTACTTGATAAATACATTTAAAAATAGTTCTATTTTAGCAATATTTTATTGCAAAGCAAACTTCATACTTGGTAATATGGGATTCCATTTGTGCTATATTTAAAATTTTTGAAATGTTCATGACAGTGTTACACATTACATGATTTAGTTCACCAAATTATAAATCCATGAAAGTAGGGATTAAATCATGTTCACCACTATAGTCCTATCTAGAACTAGAATTGTCCTTGCATGGAGTAAACACTAAATGTTTGCAAATACATTTATTTCCTTTTCATATGCAAAAGATACTTAGCACGACAGGAAATAAGAAAGATACATAAGGAAATGTCCTCATTTCTACAGAGCTCATAAGGTAAGAGAGAAAATGAAGCAAGCACATAAATTACTACCAGGGAATGCAGAATAGGGATGTAGCAAAAGGAATGAGAAACATTGACTTTGGAGTCAGAACTAGCTAGTTACATCTAGCTCTGCTCCTCCTCACAAGCTAGGTGATTTGGGCATGTTAATTAACTTCATTTTTCTTGTCTGTAAAATGAAGATATTAAAAATTACTTTATATAATGGCTACTAAAATCAAAGAAAGTAATATATGTAAAATTCTTAGCAAAATGCTTGGTATATAAAAAGTACTTTTTTTTTTTCGAAAACAAGAGCTATTGCTATGATAGTTAATTTAGTTTACTAGGAATGGAAATTGAAAAGAAAAAAAATATCTCCTCTCACTGGAATGATCAAGCTTCCCAGAGAAACTGGGTCTTAAAGAATAAACTGAATTTTAAATATGAATTAAAGAACATTCTCAGCAGAGAGAATGGGATAAGCAAAATAAGAACTCTCAAGATATTTAGGGAAAAGAGAATTCTTTACGGCCAGTCATAAATGTTCCTCATGACTATAAATAATGAGACAGGTAATTACTTTTATAAATGATACTTGAGAAGAAACCATTAAAAACACCAAATGTAAGGCCAAAACACTCCTCTGATGAATGAAAGCCATTAAGCAAAAAAATAAAGTAATTCAGTAATTCTTTTTGGAATTTATTGTTAAAATATTTTATTTATTCAATTGGCCACGAACATTTCCTGGTCTTTCAGCCAGGGTGGCATTCTGCTGACTCTATCACTAGTTTGTTAGTGTGAAATGAATACCTGCAGAATGGCTTGGTGGTCAGCAATGATTCTGGCATTTTCCACACTAGCAGTCTGAAGCATGGTGCTTAGCTCTGAACATTTTCTAGTCAGTTGTTCATTCAAAACCTAAGACAACATATTCAGAAAGTCATAGGTTTCTTTAAAAACTACTAATTTTTATTTATTATTATTTTTAAAGTTTTTGCTATAGGGCGCATACTCATCAGAGAGAGACACAGAGAGAAAGAGCAAGAAATCCAACATGCCCCCTATCCTGGGGGGGGATGGCCATCCCACAGTTCCTGTTCTTCCAGTCTCCTCTCAATATTTGGGGGCGCGCGTGCGCGCACACACACACACACACACACACACACACACACACACACACCATGATTTTCAAGCTGCTAGGTCTAGGACTCAAACCAGTCATGTGGGAACTAGCACCTTAACCTCCATGCCACTTGCTGATCCTATGTATCAGTATTTTTAATGATTGCACAATATCTCGCTATTTGTGAACCTAACTTATTTAACCTATTTATAATGAGCATTTCATTGGTTTTTAAAATGCTTTCAAATATTTGTAGTTAACACCATAAATAATTTTAAATTAAAAGGAGAGATCTGTTCATCTGGTGGAACAACTGAGGCATTTGGCATTTTACTGATCTGTTCTTTGCAAGTTGGGACACTGGTCAATTAGAGCAAGACATTTGCAGAGCGACATTTACAGTGCAGGTACCTCGCCAATATTACAGAAACCCATTCCCTTAATTAGATGATGAACATTCAAAACTGTTTAGATAATACACAATCTAAGCCCCTTCACTATCCACTGTAATATCTACTAAGGCAAAACACAGATAATTTCACCATCACAAGATCAGTCT